ACAAGTTTTAGTTTGTTCATTTGTGTTAGTTTGGGATTGGGAATTTTTGGTTTATGCAACTTAAATTTCAACTTCGACATAAGATATATGCTCGATTTGGTTGAGAAGTCGGAATGCATATAATTTGTTGTATAACATATATTTAGTTGGTGGATTTAAGGTTTAGAGAGAACTGTCATTTAGCTAATAAGTCGAGCTTCCTAATACTATATTTGAAGCAATTGTTTGAGTTCTTTATGATATGCAACTGAAACAAATTCTTACAAATGATAAAAATGATGGTTTGATGTGGGGGTTGTTCTTTCCCAGAACACTGTGTCTAATAAAGATGTTCACTTCTTAAAATATCCTATATACGTGAGTGAGAACAAGAAGGGAAGGGGTCCAGAAGTAAGAGTAATAATAATGTTTATAACGTTACAGTAGTAGGATATAGTAATTAGCAAAATAATAAGAAAAGAAAAATGAAGATATGAAATTCTTTCCTAGAACCCTGCGCCTAATAAAGATGTTCACTTCTTAAAATATCCTAGATACGTAGGTGAGAACAAGAAGGGAATGGGTCCGGAAGTAAGAGTAATAATAATGTTTATAATGTTGGTAGCTGGGTATAGCAAGCAAAATAATAAGAAAAGAAAAATGAGGATATAAAATAACCATGGTAGATGAAACAAACTATATTTGAGAAGTAATTGATTTTAGGTTCAAATACCATATTGGTTTCATCAACTTTCAAAAAAATTACATTAGCAAAGTTCAAACATAGAACCATATGCTCTGTTATTGTTATTATTATTATTATTATTATAGAGTTAATTCATTCAACGACTGAGTGTTTTAGAAACTTATTTTTACAAATATCTAAAATTTTCTAATTTTACACTTTTAGATTCCATGCATGTTAGAATTTTTTTATAATATCAAATTATTGCATTTAAGTTTTTTTTTTAAATCTAAAAGATTTAAATTATTAAATTTTAATCATATTCCTTTAATTATTGTGGACCCTATACAACTTTTTAACACTAATCCCTTAATTCACTCCAAAAAAATTTATTCCCATGATTTACCAATATTATTAATTAACTAAACTTTTTGAATTATATAATATATCTCCATATATAATCTAAATCCCATATAAACTTGGATATCTTACAATTATCTTCAAATACTTACAAGATGGTTTTCAACATTGTTAAAATTTGAAATCGAAAACTGGATGATATATTGGAATGCAAAATATATCAAAGTACCTTCTGGTCAGAGACTAGATAATGGTCGGGATAAACGGAGACAAAGGAGAAGCTAGACGAACTGCTAGACGAAGTAACTGACAGAAACTGAACGATAGAAAAAGTATAATAGTTTACGGACTGTTCCGACGATGAAGAAGAACAGAGACGACTGTCGGAGAAGAAGGAAAGCAGACGGCGGCCGGAGACGAAAGAACGGACAGAAACAAAATGAGAAAAAAGGTAGGAGGAATGATGTTTTCGAATTTTTTCAATAATGGAGGATTTTGGATTTGGTATTTTTTTACTTTTGTAGAGTAAACAAAATTTAAGGAATTTAAATGGTAACCTTCCAAGTAACCAATCCTAATTATAGTCTCTAAATAGCCTATCAATGTACTAATCTCATCCCATTATCATATTAAACCACCCGAATCCAAAAGTTGAAGTGAATGAGTTAGTAAATTTAATCATTTAATTTGAATATCGTCTCGTTGCATTCAAACTTTCTTTTCAGACCAATAGAGTCTCGAAAATGTCAAAAGTGATTGGTTCATGTGAATCGAACTGTCTGTTTGGAGTGAGAAGAAAAAGGAGGGGCCAAAAAATTAAAGTTGATCAAGAGCTTGGTCTGAAATTCTTGAAAAATGAACTTTTTATGAAAAATCAGACTGCATTCAACAAGTGAAAAACAAGTTTCACCACTTAGCAATATGTATGAAAATCATCAAACTTGGCGTAGACTAGTAAGAGTAACCTCCCATCCACGGGAAATGAAATGTCCTAAAATAAGTTGTTAAACAACTCCCCTCGTTTTGCTTTATTTTGGGTCACAACAAAAATAATAATTCAATCTACCATGCTCATTTTTCAATTTTCAAATTTGGTCGGCTTGACCTGGACTTCAAAATCCCAAACACATTTCAAACCTTCCATACATATTTCCAAATCAGCTGCAATTTCCAAGAAAAGATTAGAAATCAATCTCCAGACTTCCATTTTCGGTCCAAAAGTTCTATATTTAGAGTACCTGTTCATGTGGGGTGCTATAATGTACCCTGACAAAGATGATATATTATCATAAGCAATGAGAAAATATAAATAATAATCACATTCAAATTGAATCTGTTCATTTTTTGTGCAATCCATAAAAAAATTATGGATTAACAAAATGTTTCTCTTGAACTCCTTTCTTTCCATCCAATCAACTGTTTGAATTCAGAAGCAGAACTGTGTCCAATCAAAAGTGATCCATTTGAAGCTTTTACCGAGTAAATATCATACTAAAGTCTAAACATAAATGGGAGTTGGAACCTAAATGACGTACTTAGTTGTAGAGGTCATCGTCATCAGCTCCACCGGCAGAAGTTGCAAAAGGGTCGGTTGCGGCTGGTCCAGAACTCTGCTCTGAGAACCTGAACTCGGCTCCGAACCCTCTCGACTGCTGAAGTGTTTGCGCGAACGCCTGGTATTTGCGGATGTCAGCATCGCTCACACTCCTTCGTGCATACTTCATAGACTCCTCAAAGTGAGCAGCCTTAATCTCTGCCACTTCGTCATCAGCATCCTCCTCCATGGCCTCAGGGTTCTCGCTTTTCCTCCTCTCCTTTTCAATGTCCTGCAAAAGAGCTCATCATCACTACTGCTGGCTTTCAGGGTAGCGGAAGCGGTTGGATAGGCATAAACCAAAACAAGTTGAATTACAATGTTTAACCACATAACTTCACTTTTAAGATTGTATCTAATAGATCTCTATTTAAAAAGTGTTTAATTTCTTGCAGTCCATCAACTTTGAACTCTGTGTTTGAGACCGACCACCTATTTGACAATTTTCAAACTCACATATTCCTTTTCAATTTTATGTGTGATAAGCATAGACTTATTAGACACAAAATTGAAAATTTAAAGACCTATTAGATATTTTAAAAGTTTAGAGACTTATTAGATACAAAAATGAAAATCTAGAAAACTACCATTTTAAAGTTCTAGAACCTATTAGATAAGCTTTGAAACTTAAAATTCTGAAACCCAATTTTGAAAGTTAAAATACTAAACTTGTAATTTAACTAAAAATATAAAGTACACATGGGAGTAAGAAAAAGACCTTCTCGATGTTCTCTCTAATCGCATATTTGCAGGCCCGCTGACAGATTTCTGTAATATCAGCACCACTGAAGCCTTGAGTGTACTTAGCAAGGGCTCTGAGTTCTACATCTTTCGAGATTGGAGATTTCCTCAAGCAAGCCTTGAAGATTTGAAGACGAGATTCTTCATCGGGAAGAGGAATATAAATCAACTGATCAAGACGTCCAGGACGTAAAAGAGCAGGATCTATAATGTCTGGTCTGTTGGTGGCCCCAATGATGAAAACAGTTTTCTTTGCTGACATTCCATCCATTTCTGTAAGAAGTTGGTTCAGAACACGATCAGCAGCACCTCCAGCATCCCCAACGCTACTACCTCTCTGCAAGTAGTTTGAAAATAAAAGGTCTAAGAACCAACAAGAAAGGAAAATAATCTAATGTTTGCATATTTATGGTTATTAATATCCATGAGACTGCTGGATTAGGCTTTCTGTAAAATACTAAATGAAGAAATAATAAGATCTTCATCAATAAACGAAGTAACGCACTTGGGTAGCGATTGAGTCGAGTTCATCAAAGAACAAGACACAAGGAGCAGACTGGCGGGCCTTGTCAAAGATTTCTCGAACATTGGCCTCACTCTCTCCGAACCACATAGTGAGCAACTCCGGGCCCTTGACACTAATGAAGTTCGCTTGACATTCATTTGCAATAGCCTTTGCCAGAAGAGTCTTTCCACATCCTGGAGGACCATAGAAAAGAACACCTTTTGAGGGCGACATCCCGAATTTCTCAAACTTCTCAGGATGTTCAACTGGATATTGAACCGTCTGCATAAAGAGAATGTAAAATGAGCAATGATTCTCCATGAAGATGGGAAATTAAAGGTCCTAGAAGAGTATTGTGCAATACAAGAAATATTGATTTACCTCTTGAAGCTCCCTCTTAACGTTCTCAAGACCTCCAATATCCTCCCATGAAACATTAGGTACTTCGACAACCTGATTATGAAACTCAAAGTATTAGGGTAAATCCAAAGGGACGTCTGCAGGTTTGGTGAAACGGAAATGCATTAGCACCACTGGCATGTTGTTTTATAAATGTTTATAACTTACTGTTTCACGAAGAGCTGATGGGTTGCTAGTTCCAAGAGCTGTCTGAAAATGCTCATTTGTAACTGCCATGGAGTTGAGAATCTCGGCGTCTATAGAGTCATCTTCCAAGTCAATTACATCCATCTTCTCTCTAATGCATTGAAGAGCAGCCTCAGTACAGAGAGCTGCAAGATCAGCACCAACGTAGCCATGCGTATCTTTGGCAATCCTCTCTAAATCAACCTGAATGTACAGATCCACAAGGTTATTAACTCTCATTAATCACCAAAAAGGAAGAGATGAAATTATTGTGGAACTCACTTCTTCAGCTAGCTTCATGTTTTTAGTATGAATACGTAGAACTTCAAGTCGCCCAACTTCATCAGGAACACCAATGTCTATTTCCCTATCAAATCTTCCAAATCTTCTCAGAGCTGGGTCAATGCTGTTGGGTCGATTTGTAGCCCCAATCACAATGACATGTGCACGAGACTTCAATCCATCCATGAGGGTCAGTAGCTGTGAGACGATCCTTCGCTCAACTTCCCCATTAGTCTTCTCTCGCTTGGGAGCAATTGAATCAATTTCATCAATAAAAATAATAGATGGTGCATTCTTCTCTGCTTCCTCAAAAGCTTTTCTGAGGTTACTTTCACTTTCACCTGCCAACTTTGACATAATCTCTGGTCCATTGATACAGAAGAAAAATGCACCAGTTTCATTGGCTACAGCACGAGCAATCAAAGTCTTCCCAGACCCAGGGGGTCCATACAGCAAAATTCCCTTGGGTGGCTTCACACCAATTGATTTAAATAACTGTGGATGCCTCAGTGGCAGCTCAACTAATTCACGAATCTGGGCCATTTGTTTCCTAACGCCACCAACATCATCATAACCAACTTCATCTAATCTATCCTCATCTTCCCTTTTCACAGGCTCCCCATCACAAAAGATCTCCGTGTCTGGGGCTACCACACAGTATTCAGGTGGATCAGTCTCAATAACCTTGAACTCTACACTCCTCATACCTCCTCTCACAAGGAAGAGGTCACCCTTCCTCAAAGGACGATATGCTTCCAAGAAATATGCTGCAAATAAAAGATAGTTGGACAGTCTTGAAGTGATATATTACAATGCTCTAAAGTACAAGACATATATGAAGGTAAGCTATTAGCGAGTATCCCAAATATTCATTTTAGAGAACTAAAGTATTGATTGAAAGCAGAAAGCCCAAGATCATTCATGCATATGCTAGCAACAGATATCACTACATGATTAATAAAATGATTGAAGTTTACAAGAATATTACAAAAAATCTTATGCATATTGGATAGAAGAGAAGAAATAGGAGTATAACTCATGAAGGATAGTTGAAGATAGAAAACTTACGTTTTAAATATGCATCAAAAAGGTTTCCAGTAACCCCTTCAATAGTATCGTCCACAGGAAGAATATGTACACGCTTTCCATATTTAACATCAGCACATTGGTGCACAGAGACAACATCACCAAGCCTAACCCTAAGATTGCTTCTCACAACCTTGTTCATCCTTATTTTAGGTTCATCACATGTATCATCAGCCAGAGCAATGCATATTGTGTCTTTCCTCTTTTTACCCTGAATCCCAAATACAATGGAGAAACATATCAAAATAAGAATAACTGGTAATTAAGAATGGCACGTCCCTCCCAAAAAATAAAAGAGACAATACAAGTCTCCGACATGTAATTATTTTAGAATCAATAATGAATATTGCAGTAAGTTGAATAGAAAAACAAGTAATAAGTTTTTCTGTTCAAAAGGCTCCAATACATTACAATAGGGTTTGACTTAAAAACACTCGTACATTTTCACCCCCAACAAAGAATGCAGGGCATGATGAAATGAAAGGATCCTAGCCTCATGGATCATGTTCTCTCACTCTGGGTTACCACTTTTAATAAACCTAGTAATTTTTTTCTCTTGGTAAGAAACAAAGATTTCAGTAAACGACCAAAAGTACAAAATAGGGTGGTGTAATATGGTTGAAAATAACATAGCTTATGAGAGAACACGTCATAGAATGCTTGCCTCTTTTGTTATTCCAAGACCCTAGTGTCACGTTTCCAGCCCAATCTAGTGTTTTCTCAATAGAATAGAGTATATAACCTACGATATAAGTTCAAGACCAATAATAATTTTACGATGTAGTAGTTATGTTATCCTGTATCACAGAAATCCTAAAACATTTATAAGGCATTATGTTTTTACCGTAATTATAAAAGCCAAGAAATAGTGATAAACAGTGAAGAGCGCAAAAGGAAAAAAATAACATATGTCCACCAATCTTCAACTTATTATACTTATCATAGATATCTGCAACTACTTGGAAAGTATAATATACCCCACTTACAGATTACTCCCTTAGTTTTAGTGTCAAACATATAAATTGCAATATCTTAGTGCTGAAATCGACTTTAACATCTTCTTTTCAAGTGCATCAGATAGAGGACCGCGCGGCACAAACAATTGATTAAATTGAAATATGTTAACACTTCACGCTCGTATTCATAAGTACTAGTAATCCCTAAAATTACTGGCATAATGAACTCGAGGAAAAGTACCATGTGTGTCAACGTTAGAACTCTCGGTAATATGCTTAAACGAGGACAGCAAAATAAGACCCCGAATCTTCTTCCCCATCCATTTAGATTGAAAACCCTTTGTCGTAAAACAGAAACCCACAAGCCCAAAAGAAATACGCAGAAGTAAAAAAATAAAATTCCCTATCTCAAATAATCGAACAGAAATTCAAAAATCCATAAGGGTTATACAACTTGGGTAATAGAAGAAAATTTCCCATAAATCAGAAGAACAGACAGAGAATCCAGGGTAAACAGCTCATAGAAAGAGAATCATCAAACTAAATGCGTAAAAGACTGACCTTAATGAGGATCGTATCCCCGCGGAAGAGTTGAAGCTTCTCCATGGTATCGGGATGAAGAGCGACCACCGAGTTATCATCGTTGATTGCTTCATCGACAACAAGTCGATTTGGGGCCTTCTTCCGCTCCAAAATGGCGGTGCTAAAGTCCCGCTTCGTACCCTTGCTGGGAGAGAAAAAAACAAACAAATTGGAACCCAAATTTCAAGAAGATTGAGGAGACAAGTACCATCTCAATAAGAACTATATTCCTAGAAGATAATGCGGATCTGAAAATGGGAAAAAAGAATAGGCTTACGGGTCTGACGATTCAGCTTGATTGGCCATTTCAGCAGAATTGGAGAGACGAGCAGAGAGAATCAGAAGAAGGAAACTCCCGTCGAAGTTGGAATACTAAGAATTTGGGGAAAAGCCTGAGACGATTAGCGGTATTTGTACCGGAAGTAGAGAAATATTTCGCCCTTTTCTTGTTGGGAAAGAAAGGTTTTTTTTTTCTTTTTATTTTTTGGATAAAATTACATATTATTTTATTTTTGGTCATTTAAACGTTTTTTCATCCCCACCAATTTTGGAGAATGTTTTCCACGTAATTTTAGAATAAATATCCGCAATCTTTTATTTTTTAATTTTGTTTCCTAGTAATTTTGTGGGTATTGATATGTTTTGGTAGGTGGATATTAATGAATGAATGGTTAATTAGAATTTTAATATGGAAATTTTGAAGAATGAAAAGTTGAATTTAATTGCTTCAAAATAATAGAACGAATTCTTAAAAAAAAATAATAATAGATTTTTTTTAATATAATTTGTGATCTTTTAATCTTGATTAATCAGGACAATGAAATAATAGAATAATTTTTTTTATCTTACTTACTTTTAATATCGTGTTAAGGAAGAAACTTACACCATTTTTTTTAAAACTTAAACTACAAATTAATTAGAAATAATTTTTAACGTGATATTTTAATTTGATTAGAAATATCAATAAAATTAAATGATAAATAAATAACATTTTGCAATTAGACCACAACTATTATATTCTACCAAAAATACCAATTAGGCTGAATTATATTCAATAAAGGTTTTTTTTTTGGATTTATGTTTTCAAATATTAAACTTATAGAAGCTACTTATATTTAATTACTTAAGATCTTAACAAAATTTCAAAAGGAAAATCTTTGAAAACTACCTTTTAGTTTTCCATGGCTAAATTTTCACACATGTTTTTGAAAATCAATACGAAACAAAGATAAAAAGTTAAAAATATTATCAAGTTTAGCTCCCACGACATTTGGTTTAAAATTCTTAACTAAATTTAAAAACCATAAATAAATTTTTAAAAGCTACTTTTTTAAATTTTTAAAATTTGACTCAAATTTTAAAACCATTTCTAAAAAGTAGTAGTAGTGTTATATGCAAACTTTTCAAAAAACTAAAAATTAAGACTCTTGATAACAAGTTCAATTTTGATTTCTTGTTTTTAAGAACTAAATTTATAACCATTAACAACAAAATTTATAACCATTACTTTCCCTTATGTTCCTTTGTCTTGGTATATAACTTTTGTAAACATTTTTAAAATATAAATTAAATTATGAAAACGACAAAAATAATTTTCAGTACCTTTTTTTTTCTTCTTTCAAGACATACCTTATTTTTTATTTTTAAAATTTGACTAATAACTGAATTGTGGTCAGAAATAAGTGTTTTAACTACTTAAGCTCTAATAACCTATCAATGTTTTAAATTTCCCTCTTATCTATCTCATCACAATCACAGTACAGAAAGAGAAAAATCCATAGCAGAAAACGTAAAGAACATTAATCACAAATTTTGCTAATTGGGTTGAAGATGTTCTCAGCTAAAGCTTTAGCTGTGTACAATTTACGGAAACTGAACACACAGCCCTCATTAAGGAAAAAAATTTAGAAAAAAAAAACGTTAGAAATTAAGTTGATTTTTCTTTGCATGTCTATTTTGTACAAATGGGGGGAACCCCCCAAAAGCAAATAAAGTTGTTTAGATACAAAACCAAGATTCTCAACTACTTACGTGGGCAGCGCTGTGCTCTGGCATTGGCATGTCCTCCTTCCTTCAACCGTCATGGCTGAACTTTGCATCTAAAATTACAGAATCCCTCTTTCTATCCAATATTTCTGGATTCGAGAGTGAACACCTCGGCTTCCATCTTTAAAATCCGATATGGAGGCTTTTCTGGAGGTCAACTGTTGAATGCTGATGATGATTCTTTCTTGTCGAAGCCGAAAAAGGAGCAATTTTGAAATGCATCCAAGCTACTTGCTATCAAACGGTTCAAGCTGCTTAGGCTATCGCTTAAAATTAAATCCTCGTTATGGTACTTGTTAGTTGATGGCAAATCCAAATCCAACGGCCCCAAGGAATCAGGCTGAAACAAAAGGAAGGTAAAAAAAAGTACTTAGACTTGTTCTGTATTCGAGAATCATATGATAACTAGGAGAATTTTTCGACCTGGGAAGAACGTAAACGAACATACCCAATAAATGTCTGCTAGCTCATTGATATCTTTTGTTTCTGTGATCTGTGGATCCGACTGACACTCATCCATTGGGTCTCCTTGAATGTAATCTTCTCCAGTAGGGCTCCCTGGTCTGGGTAAATCATCCTGCGGACAAATTTAAAACATATTAGAACTCAGTCCACTTCCGAGCATCATTATCATTCACCAGCAGTGGTAATGTTGTTTAAACAAGGCATTTCTCGATACCTCGGTCATGTGGCCGGCGGAATTGGTTCTAGCTATGTGTTTGCAACCTCGTAAAGAAGAGAAAGTGGATGAACTAGGAAGCTCTTGTAGGTCGACAGGATTCTTTTGAAATGAGAAGGCATCACATGTCTCTTCAGCATCCCATATGGAGGATGAATGGGAGGCCAAAGTCGGTGGAGTAACAGTCTTGTCTTGCTGTCTGGATATATGAGCAGCAATTGCAGCATCAAATGAATCACAGCTGAACGGGATCTGCTGAAGACATTGGGTGCCTTCGGGAAGAGGTGTATCGATGCAGTTGGCATCCACATCGTGAGAAACTCCTGAAAGTAGGTCTCCGATGCTTATATTTGTAAGGCTGTCAGCCCACTCACCAGCTGATAAGGAAGTCCCATTGCTTAACTTCAGGTCATCCTAGTTATACACAGGATGAAACAGACAGTCTTGTCAAAATGAAACTACAAGTACATTCTCAAAAGTAGGTTCGATGTAATGAGAACAACAATTATCAAAAAGATAAGATTAGAATTTTGTCATAAAACATCACTTGCACTTAAAAGCAAACAAGACTGGTATTGGCAGATCCAATTGATGAATTTTATAGAATTCTGCTAATGCTGGAACATAAATTTCACAAACGATATTCCCAGAATGTCCAAGTGTAGAACCGTTCATGAGAGGAAACAAAATACCTTACAGTCCACAGCTATGTTATGTACCCTAGTGTGCAAAGAGAAAGAGACAACTAGTGCGCAGATTGAGAGAACGAATAAAAATCCATAAGCTAATGGCAGTAAACATGTAAGACATGAATAAGATATTCCTCAGCAGAGCTGAATTCATATCGCTTACAAAATCCCACTAATTGGAAATTAGCAGGAACTAAAAATTCACTGTCAAGCAAAGAAGTATATATAAGGTAACTAATTAACTAATATTTTTTAGTACTATAAGCATCAATGAGATAATTACAGATCAGGACAATCTTTGACATCAGAACATCAGTAAGATGACATTAGTAATACCATTTATGTCAAAAAGAAATTGTCAATCTGAAATAGTTAGAGAGAAAAAGAAAAATACCACATCATCAGATTGTTGGTTGATTGTTCTATCAGCGACATTTTTTTTATCCCATGAAATGTTTAATGCAGGATCAGAGGACCCTGTAAGACCATCATTTGGCCGTGTAGATAAGTGCCTTTCTGTCTCACTGGGCGCGTCAGGAGTTGAAATATTATTTTTATTCAATGTACCTACTTTATCCTTATTAAGATCCACAGGCTGACCGTTGATTGATGCTAAATCCACAATTCTTCCCTCAATATCTCTGGCATCCATGATATGATCATCTCTAATGCCATATGCTGGCACAGATGTCTGAAATTCAATACACCCATGTTCTGTGTTCGAACACCAACCATACCTTCAAGAAGATTTTAAGTCAGTTATTTTGTTACTCATTTATCTTTTTAAACAAAACTCCAAAAAGAATTAAACCTTAAACGAAAAACTTGGGGCCTTCCAATTGATGCATAGACGTCACCAGCACTCTCAAAGGAGTCCTGTATCCATCTCTGACAATCTGCTAGGCTTTTCCTCTGGATATTGTAAGGAAAAAGCATCAGCTCTCCATGAGCAGCACTTGAATTGCCCCATTTTCGACTTAGATGCTCTAAAACGGACGATATTTTCTTCCTTGTACTAAGAGTAAGCTCCAAGTGTGGATTGTGTTTATCCTGAACAAAAGAGGACCTCAAACATTGTATTAGTGTCGAAATGTTTCACATATAAATTGATTGATGCAATCTTTACTGGTCTCACCAATTCCAGGGCTCTACGAGTACCATCATCGACAGGGAATAACTGAAGCTTCAGCTTTGTATTAGCAACATCAATCAAGGAATTTGGCTGAAGAGGAGGCAATAGCAGCAAAGGGCTCCCAGCAGGATCAGAATTCTTTTTCCCTGAAATAAGTATGAAAGCATTCAAAGTTACTATAGTGAAGAAATTTGACACGTTTTCCATCACCCTTTAACATAGGGCCAGATTTTCCATACATCCTTTCATGTAAAGTTCAGAACAATTTAAAATATATATGTGACGTGACTCACCTGGAGTATTTTGATCGCGTAAAACATCTTTATTGGTGACAGTGCGCTCTAAATGCTCAGCAGCATCAGCAACCAAAGAAACGCCTGCTATTGCAGCTTTTTCCCATTTTTTATATGCAGCTGATGATACACCATCTAAAAGTACAAATAACCCAATGGATAAATATTTTCTTGCTTAACATTGATTGTGCAACCCAAAATACATAGCACCGTAAAATCTTATTTTTATCTTCTAAACATTTATTTTCCTATAAGAATCCATATTAAGATCTCTTACAAAAACAATCTTAGATAGCATATTACAAAAGTTGGACAAAGACAGTAGCTCGGAAAAGAAAACATTCAATAGTAAACTTATAAGGAATCAATCTTCTAAATCAAACCAACAACACCCCCAACAAAGAGTTTTGGGAGAAGAGCTCACACCTGATTTTCTTCTCTGCCTTGGTGGTTTGAGGACAGTGGAATATCCACCATTGTTTCCACGGTTAATACCAACATTCAGATTGCGTCTTGACGAGGTTTTCCTAGGGCCCAGTTTTGGAATGTTTTGAGTGTCAACTAAAACTAATTTCACTGCACGCCCATCATGCCCTAAAGCTCTGCTCTGACTAGAGACAGCACTTGGTATGGGTGGAGGGCAGTTTTCTCCCTGCAATGGTCGTTTTCTTACAGTCTTCTTCCGATCTTTCAAAAGTTGATGCTCCTACATGTAAAAGTGAGTTGGTCAGTCCAGCAGTATGCAAAAGAAGAGTTTCATACACAGAAAGGCACCAAAGGGTGGAATGGATTAGATGGTTCTGACTAACCAAGGCTTCAATAAAAATCTTGAAACGTCGGGGTTTCAGGTGAAGCTTTGAAGCTTTGCAACTATATTTTTCCAGTAAAGACCACCTGTTGGGCATGTCAAGTATGGTGAGAGAAAAACAAAAAATCCACGTTTGAGGCCTATAACACTAATCATTGCAAAACTAGTTATACTATTTTTTTAAAACTCAAAATAAATAGCTTTCTCATATTATACTTAAAGTAGTCGGACTGAACAATGAAAAATAGAAAAGTGCAATAAATTAATGCATAAATAACAAATTCTCTCGTATGTATTTCTCTCCAGATACAGGCAGGCCAACATTCTCAATAATGATGTAAAATAGCATTATGGCAGAATCCAACTTGATTTCCACAATTCATCACACATTTACCCAGAAATCAATCAAATGACAATAATCACTCACGTTTAGAAAGAATAGGTAAGATTGAAGAAAAGGTGACAGCATGATTAGCAGTAATTATTACCATCGGAGCATTGCAGCATTAGTATCCTTAGAGTTTTTAGCATCCAGACATAGCCCAGGAGCCAACAGCTTGTTCATACGCCTTACTAGACGGTAATAATAATGTCTGACCTGGTTACAGAAAGTTTGAAGAATATATATATACATAAGAAGGGATTAGAGCACAAGTCCAAGGATTAACTTTCCAAAAGAAGACCATCTATGACAAGCACCTGGTCCTTGTTTTTGCTTTGTACATGACAAGTGATCTTCTCAAAATTCTGCATAGAAGGCATGATACAGTTAGAGAGACATAACATATTTTTAGAAAAATATGCAAAATTAGTGGACAACTACATGCCTTGCCAACTTGCCGTAATGCAGTGAAGAAACTTTCCTCCTCTTCACGTGTCCAAGCAGCCCATTGCCGAGTCGGCCTTTTGGCTGCATAAACCCATAAAAATCAGTTAGAGCAGAGAATGTCAAAAACTATAAACTATAAAAAAGGAATTTAAAAGAAAAGAAATCTGCAATGACAATATAGTACCAGGCAGTGGTTCTATAACATGGTCGGGAGTTGATGCTGCAATGCCTTGATCTCCAACATGAGGAAAGATAGTCTCTGAATGAAGATGTGCCTCAGAGATGGAGGGGACAATTGAATCTGTCTGCATTTTATATTTGTTTAATGAACAATAGTAATCTTGTCCTTCATTGACTTCCAAATGATGCTCAAACCTACTGCAACAATGGATGATCATTCAAAGTTGGAGAAATCAGAGATTTAAACAAAATTATTTAAAATAGATCAATCATGCGGAAAGAATAACACTTGTAAATAGAATGTCCTTATAAGCATCAGGAGAACACCAGAAATGTGGACAATGGTAGAGCTTTCCACAGGGCTTCACATTCTCCCAATAATTAAGAAGTGAAGGTAGAACATAAGGAGTAGTTTCTTGGATTCATCAATTCTTAGATCAACAAAATATAATTAACTAGAAAAAGTATGAATATTACTAATTGCAACGGAACCCATGATTTCCAATATTTAGCCTCCCAGTCGTTCTTATTTATCCCTAATCCTGTAGCACGAAGAATGCTATAACAAAATCTAATAGCAGCAATTCAATTAAAGTCCTACACCACATAATCTTATAGTTCACACACCAAAATACGGGAAGTAATCAAAATTCGAACGAGGAAAACATCACTGCTAGGCAGATGCAAAATGCCAACTAATTCAAATAATTTAACCCAAAATTGAGTCCGAAGAACGATCGCTCACCTAAACTTTGCATGAAACAACTAATTGACCAAATTACGTTAAAATTCCTCTAATCCAATTTTCTAGCAGACGATCGAAAGCAAAGATTTAATAATCTCCACTCCGTTTCCAGGCTGCCAGAGACGATTTAGGGTTTCGAACTGCACACACGGTCAATTCAAAAATCTCCACAAAATCAATAAGCGAATCGGATATGTACACTACACTGACGATACCTGAGATGGATTCAAGAAATCGAACAATCTGCAACGCCACAAGCTTCGAAGTTTAGACGAAAACAATGAAAAAACCGGGGAGAATTTTCCGACAGCCGTCTACAGTGGGGAGGTGAGAAAGAAGAAAAGAAAATAATAAAAAAAAATAATAATAATAATAATTTTACTTTGTGAAAAGGGGAAGTGGGAAAAAACAAATTTTAAAGTTTAATTCCTCAAAATACTAAAAAATAAAAAAATTGTAACCCATGGGGAATTCAGGATCTGACCTAAACATTTAATCCCCTCCTTTATTTTATAAGGCCTATAATTTTTTGACACCAAATAAAATATATAAAATATTATCTAATCTTATTTGAAAAAAAAATAGTTTAGTTTCTAATTGCATGACTAATACAAATATAACTTAACATGCCACATTGCGTTAAAATGGAGAGAAAGTTGACTTAAAAATAAAAAAAAGTTGTTTTTCCTACCTTTCAAAGATATTAATATTTAATCGCTCGAATTATATTCAGCAAAATGTATATAGATTATTTATCGATAAAGAAGTTAAATATTATGGATTAAGAATCCTTTTTTCCATTTGGATAATATTCAATGAGGGAATCTCTGTGTTCTGTCCACAAAGAAACCAAGAAAAGTAAAGGGATTGGAGTTTTGAGGCAAATGGGAGAGTTTTCTTCCTTTAGAAGGGCTTGCTTGTTGGGTTGCTGGGAATATGTTAAAAGGGACCCAAAAAATAGTAATGCGGAAAAAAGAAAGGTGCTCGGGGTGGATATTCGAACTTCCAACATTTTAGTTGATAATAAATATTTTAATCAGTTGAGTTACACTCAAGTTGGCAAGAAAACGTTTTTCCATGCTTTACGTTTCGCCCTTTTTCCCTGATAATTTGTATGGAATAAAAAAGTTGGTCATATTCCTAATTGTTGGTTAATCAGCTTACAAGCCAAAATATGAAGCAGAAGACAAGAATGGCAGGCTGAGGCTGCAGCAGCTCATTGAATTATCAGTACAAAACTGAATGCTCAGAAACTGACCCTTAGTGGACATTGAATGAAAATAGTAAAAGAATCAGAGTTGGAGATAGTCTCCATTATCTTTTCTTTGTACTAGAGGGCATTCCAAGGTTTTCCTCTGGCAACTTCTCTGCAATCTCAAGTCGTCTCCGTCCAGTTGGAAAGAACAAGCAACACGGATTACCACACTAGTTTCTTCGACAAAATCAGCTCCTGCACCATAAACTCGACCAATGACGACAATTAGGTAGAATGCAAAGTTGAAAGTGCATGAACAGGACGATCAAGTTGCGGTATACATTCATGGTTCTGAGTTAGCTCCATTGATGGATAACTAAGTCGAATTATCTGAATCTCAGTTGAACTAATGCACTGTTGCTGATTTCGAGAGCATTAATCGGAACATAGGAGCCCCACGATCTAATACGTGTCGTTCCCAGTCTGATCTTACTCCAAATGGGTTCTCATTAAGCCATCCTTCCCCATTAGTTCCCACATCAACTTCAACTTGGTCTTGCACAACAGCTAGTTTTCCTTTTCCATATAGTAAAAAAGCTTCCTTCATTCTCAAAGCCACAGTTTCAATATCAGATTGAAGAAATACCTAAAAATGGAAAGCCAGTCATTACAGAAGCTGAGTAAAGTTCATATTATTTTGTCACAGAAGAGAAGGAGAGGCCCAGCTTCCAAGATAAACATTTACTGGAAACAAACAAACAAAAGTGAAGATGCACAGAGAAAAGGGTATTGCCTTTCCATTAGATGCAAGCAGGTCTGCCACTGCCTCCACTAATGACCTTTGCAGCATCCTCCATCTGTGCTCTGGTTTATTGAAATCAGGGTTGGGGCACTACAGTTACAAAAAAAATCCTACTTCAGTTCAGACACAAGTTTTTGGTGAGGTTAATTATAAGTTTAGTCTTTGGACTTTCAAAGTTGTTCCAAGGTTAGGCCTAACCAGTCCATAAATCGTAAAAAGTATCAAATAGATCCTTGAATTTTCAATTTTGTGTCAAATAGATCCATGACCTATTCAATGTTTTCAAAATCAACGAACCTATGAACACAAATTTTAATTTTATGCCTAATAGGATCATGATCTTTTATTTGTATATCTAATAGAACCATGAATTTTTAGGTAAAGAATCTATTTGACACCGATATAGAAAGTACTAATATTTTGAGTGGCCTGAGCAAAGCAATAAATAGCCTGGCATTAATAATGGCTCCGTTAGGCTTTAACTTTTAAGAAATAAATCCGCTCGTGGTGGAGGGTTGCGGAGTTATGAAGGTGGCACATCCTGCGAGTCTGAGGTCCTCCCCTCATTTCATTAACATTAGAGACAACGACAAGAACAGGAGAATTTATACCTGGATAGAGACGAGAACTAAATCTCCTGGGTAACTAGACACGATAGGACGAAATGTCGATGTTGCATTTGTCGCAATGAAGTGCCTGAAACCAGGAGAATTTGAGATAAGGTTCAGAAATGAAACAGGAAACCAGATGAAAAGAGTTCATAAAAAGACAAAGACTTTGTTATCATCCACAAAAAATGTGGCCAGATGCAGTCAGATGAACTTTTGCAAATTTGCATCTAGTCTAACATTTTATCTTGACAGACAGCTGAGTATAGCCTGTGCCACGTCAAAAAAAGAAATGTTCTTACCCATTCTTCATCTCGAATTGATAAACAGAATGTAGACAACGTTTCACAAGCTGAAAGGGTCATTCAAGTGTGAGATAATACGTAAAATTTAGTTTTGAGCGGTAAAGGAAACTAAAGAAGACCTTTTCATTAATCTCTAAACCGAGAAAATTGAGATCCTTCCTTCTTCTAGCCATTTCCAGAAGAAACATCCCATTACCTGTCATTTTGGCTTCTTTAAACTTGTACCAACAGGAAAGA